ATTTGGACCAGAAGGGTATGGAGCAGAGGGATAGCCTGGCTGTGAACCACCATATGAAGGGAATCCATATGGAGGGGGTGGTGGGTAGTTCCCACCCTGAGGTCCATACATTGGGCCATGAGATTCGTCGTACCCTGGAGGGTAGTGTGACATGATGCCTGTGCGGAAGGGAGGGGAGTAAATACAGTTCACAACATGCAGGGACTACAGGGAGCAGAGGTAAGACAGTCGGAAGCATCACCAACATGTGCTCTTTAAGGTTTTGCTGTACACTGTCATCGTCAGTAAAAGATTTATAATGCACATTGAAAAAGTCAAGAAAAAGGGAAATAGGTACAGCAATTTATTGAAACATGGGCAAACATACATGGTATATAAGGCCGATACGGTTTTTACCTGATTTATGACCACCTTTATTCTTCAACACAACCTGAATTCTCTAAGGCAGCCTTCTTGTAATTTTACATTACTTCAATACTGTTGAGGTCCACACTCTGACAATGTCCCACTGTGCGTTTTTCTATCCAGGTATGGTTCTACTGCACTGGCAGTGTGTTCAGGATCACTGTCAGGATCACTTTTTCACTTTTTTTTGCGTTATGACATTAGCAAACTTAGGTGTCCACGCCGCCCTCCCGCCTGCCTGCCTGAAAATGCAGAGTTGTACCTTTGGCGACAACAACAGAGCTCCATTTAGCTTTAGGGCTCTGCATGGAGCCACTGTTGGTGTGCATACACATTAAGGTCTGGGTAATAGCTGGACTTGGGCTCCTGCCAGAGTAATTACCATGCACCTTACTGTACACACTTGGGTGTGTATCGGGTTCACGGAGTAGAAGGATTTGCTCAACACTGGTTCACAAAACCCACCACATACCCAGGAACCACCACACGGGCCCCAAAGGGAAATTTCTAATAATAACCACATGCGCGCTAACATCATGCAACAACATGAGGCCCAAGTATTCCATGCTGCTGAAAGAACTGAGATGGTCAGTACACTGGGTTCTTGCTGTGTACCTGCTTTTTCAGTGTGAAACATAAAGAATTAAAAGGGCAATTTACTTCTGCTGATTTTACAACAGACACCAAACTGCTATCTTAAAAGGCTGACGTGTTTCTAAGCACAATACAGTTTGCCCAGTTATTCTGAAGGTGCTGCATTTTCAGTGGGACTTTTAGGGAAATATACGCAGTAAAGGAATTCAAGAGCTGGCTCCACCTCTTGTTGCCATTACCTCACATACTAAGCACCAAGCAACAGGACAGAAAACAATCAATGGAAAAAGTGCTTCAGCTGATCTTTGTGGAATGAGGACAAAGCTGATTGCTTCATAAGTCACTGAGACATGAGAAGGCAGCAGATTCATATGTGTGTTTGAACAGGAGGGTGTAGCTCTAATATTTACGAAAAATACACTCATATTCAGTGTATTTCATCCTCCCTTCAACCTCAGGTCATCATGTGGTTGTGGTTATTACTGTAACGTATGTCGTCTGAACACACTAACATAACTAGTCTGTTTACATTCATCTGGCGTGGCACAAACACGTCACTCAGAGCAAAGCTCTGTGACTCAGAAATGCTTTTGTTACGTGAAGCCTGTCATGCGGATGAACACAGTTACAGAAGCACCACACAAGAACACTGAGAACCGGTTTGGCAAAGCTTTTAATCACTCCTTTTTGTTGAGCTTCATTATTTCTGCCTGGGCAAGAAGTCATGCAGTTTTTTTAATGCTGCTGACTCTTTCTAATCCAATACGCCTGCAACAGACTTTGTCCTTTACATTCTCGCACATGCTTTCCTGCCCAATCATGACATTTTACATTGTACACAGCAGTGAACTTTAACCTGAATGCTAACTTAAAACCTGTTTGTTATTTTATCCTGTTTTTTTTATTATCAGATAAACAGATTTTTTGCATACTTCTGCTTCATCATTCTCTCCATGTACAGTAAACATCAGCAGATTATTAAAATGAATTATACAAAAATAATTAATCGAGGATGTCAGAAAATGGGAATGCTGTTGTTCAGTATTATTGAGTATTGCTTTCATTTTGGTGTTCCTATTTTGTGCTAGAACCAACATCCAGTTACTTATCCTATCTATGAATTTATGCTGCATTTGAGGTTTTCTTTGTCATATCAAAAGCTGATCAAACACCAGACACCAGGGAGGGGATTTGCAATCTAGCTTAGGCTAGATAAAGCCTGTTATGCGTTTCCTGGTTCTTATAACACATTTGCCACTAAACCTAAAATTAAATATAACATTTGGTTGCTCCCTTTTGACCCCCCACAACAGTAGATGACTAACACTGTGTAAAGGCTGGTCAGATGAAACCAGACACACGGAGATGTCATCATACATTTGGGCAACTGTGTTGGGCATTTTTCAATTTAGCCTGTTTATGTTTACATGTTTACGGTCAACTTCCGCAAAGCAAAACTCAGGCTTAAGCCCGACCGACTCCCAAAACAATATTTATCGGGTATAGTCCTGTTGAACGTCAGCCACTTATTATTCAACTATAACAGACTGTGCACAAGTGTGTGTGTAGACTGGCACACTGACTAACAACTGACACGAAGTCTCACACGCCTCGACAGCACATCAGCGAATTGAAATCATCAAAAGCTCCGCTGCCTTTAATAAGGGCGCACTCATTAACGTTATTGCTAACAGCCGTCTTCCCCGCTACCAGGGCCGCCTTTACCCGCCCTGTAACTCATCTCTGACATCAAAAAATAAGCAACGATGTAACATTCAAAAGGAAAAAGAAGAAAACTCAGCATCTGAGCTGTGTCTCGTGTTTAACATTTCAGTTTTGTCGACTGAACTGAAAAAGAAAGATGGCTATCCTAAAAGCGTCTATACACAGACCCACTCCACCCAGTTACCAAACCTCCGCTAACTCCCCCCAAAAAAGCTTTCCCAGGTGTGTGAGCGGGCTCAGCCAGAACAAAAACACCACCACCTTCACCATGAGCGGTGTTTCTGACAGAATGGGAAGAATATAACATCTTACCAAATTATGAGACGTCAACCTCGTCGGTGGCTCTCAGTCCCAGAGAGAAGAAGAGCGATATCCTCCCGCTGTCACTCACAAAGCCTTAAACTGTCTTTAATGCTGTACTCCAAGTTTTAGTGTGGGGTTGTTTTATGTTCTCGATGTTGTTATTCAGAGAAGCACTGGCAGAAGTGGGCAGCTGTGAAAAGTTATTTTTTCCTGGAACTGTGGAAGCAGGGTGTGGTCCGGAGGAATCTCTCTCACACACACCCACACCCACATCGCGGACAGCGAGGCCCGAAAGGCGCTGACTCATTTTCAGCACTGGTGGTGTCACATTACTGAAAGCACGCGCTCTCCTAAAGTGCCCTCTGCTGCTGGCGCGCGAGTCTTCCACACTTTGCAGAGTTTTGACTCCTTTCACCTGATATGAGCTGTTATTTGGACTCTGTAGTAAACAAGCTCATTAAGTGTGCTGAACTTCTCTCAGGCTGATGAAGGCCAGCGTTATGATGTGAAAACACGTTTTATAGGCTGCAGATAAGCTCATTCATGATTTGACAGGAAAAATATATGCGTGTTTAAGTATTATAGAGTACTGTAAAAATTCTCTAGTCACTCTTCATTTCTTTATGTTTTGCTTCCAAGGAACCAGAATTTGCTTCTTCTTTTTTCAAAGCGGTCTTAAACAATAATCATTGGCTGCTTCTTCAATCATTTTTAGT